GCCCCGCCCCGCGGTTCTGCTCCCATCATCTCCCCCCCTGGCTATCCTGACGGCTCAAAACACGAGCTCTCGGCTCTTCAGCCCCCCGCCTTGTTCAGATACTGCTCGTACTCGCTGTATGCGGTAAGAAACGGAGCAGAAAATTAACGAGCACCTCACACGGGCTTCGGATCTGTCTTTCAGGCGTGGTGCGCTCTGTTAAGGAGACCCTGAGCAGCCAGTTTGTGGAGAACTGCAAGGGCGTCGTTCAGAGGCTGACGCTGCAGGAGCATAAGATGGTGTGGAACCGAACAACCCACCTCTGGTACGTGCCTGGCGCCCGCGAGCGTCCGGCTTTCAGACCGGCTGCGGTGCCCTCGGAGGGCCTGACGTGCTGAAATGACTTCAGGCGTGGCCAAGGTGCCCCCGACCTTGGACCCCACAGTGGCCCCGTTACAGCTGCCGAAACGGGGCACGTTTGGCTGTTTTCAGGGCCGTAGCCTTTCAGAGTTCACACGGGGGCTGTAGACGATGAGCGCGTGGAGTAACCCAACGTGGGCAGAGCATTTATCAGCAGCCCCACGTTGTTGTTACGGAGGTGGCCGTAGGACAGTATTTCCCGAGCAAAACAACGCCTTCGAAACAGAAATTCAGTTGGATTTGGGCGATACCCGCACCCGGGGGACCTGAGGATGGCCCACGGGAGCGGCCTGGCCCGCGAGAGCTTCGGCTAATTGGATAACGCTTATCAAATTTGCCTGTGGGACGGGCAGCGCTTCTCCTCGCAGGGCGGTTTCTGGCAGCCGGGAATGCCGCGGGGAGATGAGGGGGAATTAGGTGGGCCGAAGCGCTCTCCCGGTGCCGGCGGAAGCCCACGCTACTTCTGCGGGGACTGCGGAAGAGTTGAGGTGAAGGCGGAGGGCCTCGTGCGTATCCGGACGGTGCCACGAAAGTGCAGGACCCGGCACTTGGCCTTGTAGCACCGCTCTCCAGCGAGTCCCACCCAGATAAACTTCGCTCAGGGCGGGTGACGGCTGGCAGTCCCCAAAAACGGCAGGTCACCCCGCGCGGTGTTTCCCTGCCAGCCTCAGGGGGGCGGGGGGGGAATCGCTAACGCTCGCCTTTGCTTTATCCCCTTCTCCTTTCCCAGGAACGACTATGAGAAGATCATCCACCAGCGAACCAACACCACCCCCTTCGACCTGGTCCCTCAGGAGGAGGGCGCCGGCGTCATCAGGGTGATGAAGCCGCTGGACGCCGCTGAGCTCAGCCTGGAGACGGTGTACGAGAAATTTCATCCCTCCGTCCAGTCCTTCACCGACGTCATCGGCCACTACATCAGCGGAGAGCGCCCGAAGGGCATTCAGGAGACGGAGCAGATGCTGAAGGTGGGCACGGCGCTGACGGGGGTGGGAGAGCTGGTCCTGGATAACGCCACGATCAAGCTGCAGCCCCCGAAGCAGGGCATGCCCTACTACCTGAGCGGCGTGGATTTCGACTCCCTGCTGCAGAAACAAGAATCGAACGTCCGGTTCTGGAAAATCCTGACCGTCGTTTTCGGTTTTGCCACCTGCGCCGTCCTCTTCTTCATCCTACGGAAGCAATACCGGCATCACCGAGAGAGGCGGCACCTCAAGCAAATGCAGGATGAATTCCGGCAGGCCCAGGAGCGCCTGATGCGCGAAATGAACGTGGAGGGCGGAGAGACGTTCAAAAACGCCTGCGTCGTCTGCTTGAGCAACACCAAATCCTGCGTCTTCCTGGAGTGCGGGCACGTTTGCTCTTGCAACGAGTGCTACCGGGCTCTCCCCGAGCCCAAAAGGTGCCCCATCTGCCGGCAGGCCATCTCCAGGGTGGTTTCCTTGTACAACAGTTAAATGTCTGCGGCCGGAGGGAGCTTTTGGCATTAAAGCTGCCTCTCGCGAAGGGGTTTTCTCGCCTCGCTGCTCGAGTGGTTGATTTTGGGGAAGGGGAGGGAGCTTGAGTGAGCAGGGCGCTTCGATTGAGCCGGGTCTTAAAAGGCGACGGTCCAGCTGATGGGGGCTCACATCGCGCTCCGGAGGTTTTCTGGATGGGAGACGCGGAATCCCCGCAAAGGGCGCGGCGCTCGGCTGGGAGATGCGGTTTCAAGCTCTTCTGTTAAGAGTCGGACCCTCA